GTGCACTTTCCATTCTGCAATCGATTTCCAAGGGCTCGACCACTTTGACGAAAGGCGGCGTTTCAATTCTTGTTCACTCTGTTCATTATCCTTTATGTACCAGTGTTGGTAAAGCCACATACTGTCTTCTTCTTTATGACTGTAGATAAGCGCCGCCTAACAATAGAGATAAGTTTTGACACAGAAAGCTGGAGGCTTATATCGAGGGGACATCTAGGTTCGCTGTTCCAGATGAATAATCGAGAACAAAAATAGCGATAAAAATAATAGTCATGAAAGGGAAGGATGGGTTGGAGGGGGTAGTAAAGGGTCTATTTAGACTCTAGGTGGCTTTCGCAACAGAAGGTGTGCGATCAGCATCGCGATAAGGCGCAAAATGTTCCTCGAAAACCGCTCCGGTTCTCAAACACCGCATCGCATGTACATGGCTACTTGTACTATCGTCATGTTGTTCTGCTCGGTTTTTTTTTCAAATTCTTAATCAGGATAGTGGTCCTCCCTGTCATTGTAATAACTTCAAAGGTATCTTGAAGTAACTAGCTCGAAACTTGATTGGTTCTTTGATCGAGTGGGAAAATCCATGATAGTTGTATTTCACAACTTCTTTTGGTGGGTCATTTCATCACGTCAATTATTACAGGACCACTTTCCTCGCATTCAAGTGCATCCCACGCAGTCTTTTCCTGATTATATCCTATCGTCGCCCAGCGACTCCGTCGCTGGTGTACAGCGACGCAATCGCCGAGTCTGACCGAGGTCTAACGATCAAGCGACCTCTTCTGGATGTGTCGTCCATGGTCGAGATCAACATGCAACAGGGTCTTATTTGATGTTCTTGATCGGATCTCTCTATTTTTTTTCATGCTGGCCCTCCGTTTATCGCCTCAATCTCACATAAACGCCATTCTGTTGTGATTGCTGCCGGTTGATCTCGTCCACTTCATCGGGCGGAAAAGGAGTCTTTTTCCAGGCATCCCACTGTTTCTCAATTTTTTTACAAGCACCATTCAGCCCCCTACTTTCACGCTTGTACGTATCAACTTTTTGTGAGAGCTGCCTTTGAAAGTAAATCGAACTTGTTCGCAGCAAAGGAAATGGCTCACCAGTAGAGGCTGTGACGGGAACAGATTTTGGAATATCAGCCCTCCTTGTTCCCCTTGGTGCTTATTTCCTGGTACGATAGCGAGAAGAAACTGCTGGGCTAGTGGGACTTCAAGTTTTCGATGCCCTAGTAGTTATTTGAGGAGATAGCTTCCACCTCTATTACGTAGTGACCCCGCATTTTTCCTGCAGAGCCCTTGCAGACCGATCGATGATGAGTGCGACTGCGTTGTAGTAGCACGAGGCTGCAGACTTCTGGCATAAACGCGCTTTTCTGTTCTCTTTCCGTCGGAATGCGCAAGCAATCTAGAGAAGTTTTGGTTCTATTCCATTTAGGGGGGGGGGGCATCATGATGCAGTTTTTCCAGAAAGCTACGGTAACTCGAGCCAGGGGTGTAGCCAGCCTAGGGAGGGAGTGGGGGGGGGGGGGTGAGGGAGTCACTTGACATGCGTGAAAAGCTGGAATGTTCGAGTTTACAGTAGTTCGCTGCATTATGATGCCCCCTAACTGGCATTTTTTCGAAATTTTTCTTAGGGGAAGGGGATGAGAGTCGTTTCGTAGCTCATGGCATTCAAATTGTTGACAAATACTTCTATTTGTAATCATTCGAAGAAAATCTCCACATAGCTTCCTTTTTTGCACAATTACATGAGATCTATGTCATTAAAGGGGAGGCGGGAGGGGCGTTTGGTGCAATGCTTGTGCCGCCTACAGTAATCCGCTTTGCAGAGAGAGCAAGCTGCGGGGTGGCAAAACCCATTTTATTTTCTTGGGCGAAATGGTAGCTTTATGAGTAGCACTTTTTCTTACCAGTTGCACTATTATAATCTTTGATGCCCACACCGACACAACTCCAAGAAGGTTCAATTTTTTTTACCCAAAACTTCGTTTATATTTCAGTGCTCCAGGCACAAACAGTGGCATTTGTTTCGGTGCTAACTTAGTTGGGGGGGGGCACGCGGCGGCGCGGCAGTCTGCTCACCTGGGCTCTCTCGAGCGAGACAGTGTAAACTCGAACATTCCAGCTTTTCACGCATGTCAAGTGACTGCCCCCACCCCCACCCCCTAGGACTGGCTACACTCCCCCTGGCCCACGGATTTCCGAACATGCCAGGCGAGCAGACTGCCGCGCCGCCGCGTGGCCCCCCCCCACTAAGTTGCACTTTTGTTTGTACTGCCTAGTGTCATTTGGGCGAACGCATAACCCAATAAGTGCAAAGTTAAACTATCCCACATAGTTATGATTGAATATCACATTTGTGATTAGGCCAATGAACAACCTGTTGGAGAGTTTGTAGCATACATGAACATTGTAGGCCTTCTCGGCGTGAAAGACTGTAACATTGCTCTTTTTTTTCAGATAGCATCTACAAAAAGTGTTTGTCGTAGTTTTAAATGTGTTTGGTGATTTGCACCAAAAATCACGCTCACCATTTAGGAGACGTCCCAGGGCACTTATCAACTGCAAAGCTTGGTGATTCAACGTTTTGTAGAGTCATCTGAGCGCTATACAATATGTTCACCATTTCACCGTTTTTGCTCTCCTTTCTTTGAAAGGCTTAGCCTCGGTCAGACTCGCACAAAGTGTAAGCTTTTCTTTCGAACTCTTGGTTGACATCAACGAGCGGTCAGGCTCGGGATAGAATCTATCCCTGTAACGTACTGCATGCTACGGCCTAGGTGACAGCCCAGTTGCGTATTTTTAATCGATGCCCTTTGAGCGTTAGAGGTTCTCCGGATTTTTGTCAATCCGCGCGAAGCTAGGCTTTCAGCGTTTTTAGTGCTGTTCTGTGAGCTCTCGACAGCGTTGGGTTGCAAACTTCTGCCCTTGCTTCTTATTTTCTTGAGAAGTCTAATCCTAGTAATACACTAGAGTGATGCTTTCCCATCTACTCTCACTTCATGAAGGCTCATAGCGGCGGTAGGAGTGTTGCGCGTTGCACGGGCGTGGCATGCGTCGTACATGAGTGGCTCACCCCCGTATTGGTTTTGCTCCATTGTCTCCTTATTTCTTTCTTTCCCAGCTTGCTTCATTTCTTTCTCTTTTTTTTTCGATTGGGTTCTATTTTATGTAGTATGTTACCACTTATTTATCTCTTATGAGGTGCTGTTAATGGAGGAGTATTTTAGTTTCCGCATAAAAATGGATCTACTCGATAATATTACATTCTATGATGAACACTACTAGCAAAGAGCTGTTCGGGAAACCTAAGCCGCGGCCTGTGCCAAAGAAAGAAGTGAAGGTGAGTGACCGTGTGTTCGTCTGCCTTTTTACTTTTGTTAATTTTAGAAATGACACCAGAAAAACTGACGCTGTTCTTGAAGGAGTCCGTAAAGGAATTGGGAGTTGGAATGAAGGTACCACACGCACTCCTTGCGCCGCAGACAAGTTTTAGAGGTCCAGAGACGAACGAAGCGCTGCGCCGCCGCTTGTCACCCCCTTCTCCGGTTTAATTCTTGAAATCTCTTCTATAGTCCTGCCACGAATAGCGGGGAGCACAGACGATTAGGCTGATGTCAGAGTCCGCGATCCTTTGCGCGATTTTCGCGATTTGCGATTTGCGCGATTTGCGCGACGGGTCACGGAAATCACAAGTGCCCCATCCATACTGCAAGGTGTTCTCCAATCCGCCGTCACTTCTGCTTGATGGTTATGGTTTAATGGAGACTGCTCATGATTCCACTTGTTTCATATCCAGTGTTTCAATTGTTCAAATGGGGCACTTGCAATTTTTGTGATTGGTTTGGTTTGATTCCTGAAAAAAAAGGAACGATTCAAGAGCATTTCAATGAACTAATAGACATTGAACATGAAACAAGTAGAACCACAAACATTCGTCTTCCAATCTTTACTGCCAAGCAGAATTCGCAGCAGGATTAAACAACACCTCGCAGTATTCATCGGGCACTTCCAACTCCTGTGATCCATTTCGCGAAAATCGCAAAAATCGCGAAAATCGCGCAAATCGCGAAAATCGCGAAGAGCGGGTCGCGGACTCTGACGCCAGCCTTAGGGAACGGCGCTTGGCTCGGCTCAAATCTCAAGGAGGAAGGTGAGAGCCTAGGACTAAGCCTTGTAGGAGGGAGGGACTCCGAGGTGGGTGAGCCTACAGTGTGGCAAAAGTTTGAATGTGTGAGATCACAATGGTCATGAGCCGCTGATAAGGTGAGAGAGCGCAGACGAGAGCATCGAAGTGAGGCGCTCAAAGGACCGAGTTCAAGTAGTCCTTCCACCCAGTCCCACGTTAATGGCTTGGTATAAATGACAGCCTGGACTGCTAGTGAACACCTCAAGTCATGCGAGGCACGCCGTACTGCATATTGTATGCAGGACACGATGGTGGCATGTAGTGCACTATTTCACCGCGTGTGGGAAACAAAGGTCAGGAGCAGTGACAGTCTTGGTTGTCTTTGTCGCAGAAAGTCCACATAAGGAGAGACGCAGTACGTTATGGGCGAGGGGTTATAGTGGCGAATTATTTTGACAGATGGGTAATCAGAGTGGTGAGATAAACGGAAAAACTGCAGACGATCAAGAGGTGGAAGGAGTAAAAGACTGGGAGGAGTCGGCAGTGGTACAAGGGCGTGCCAAAAAGCGTCAAATATGTCAAAAATAAGGAAAAAGCTCAATTCGGCAAGTTGTGTAACTCGAAATAGTTTTGGGTACACTTGAAACTGAAAATGATAACTAATCAAAGTCTTGTCCTATCGCGCAGAGAATTTAGTTTCTGTTCTCTTTTAAGTTCAATGAGTGTTATGTGCGAGTAAGTGCAACTCTTAAGGCACAGGGAGCTTCGATTCGTCTGATAAAATTCTATCCTTTTTTTCAAGACTGAACCACCCGACGGATCGTCCGCTGCTCCAAAGTCGACTTTTCGGATTCCAAAGAAGACAGCAAATGCACAACCAAGCCCTAATAGCGCGGCAACAGGCTCCGTCCTGGGAAGAGCTACACCTAGCCCTTCTCCTTCGCAAGAATCGCTCGGAGAATTCGTATCGCATGGAAGTAGATGTGAAAATGAAAAGAGAATGTGAGTTGCGTAGGAGTTTTGACTGTGAACTAAAACTGCCGATTTATTTGACAATGGCAAAAAATGTACAGAATGCGATTGTTTTCTTTTTTCAGTAAAGGAAGAACCAAGGGGATACACGGTAGGACGGCCAATCAAACAAGAATATAAACCTGTGGTTGATGCTAGAAGTGAGTAATATAGGTCGAATACTATTTCAGAACGCCTCACTTGAAATTGGAAACAATGTAAAAGAGTGAGTAGCTGTGAAGTTCTTCAGTATGAATGCAAAATAATTCCAGGCCGATGTGATTTTATTGTGCCAAAAACCCTGGTTATTGAGATGAATGGAGTGAACATGGATTTGTCATGTGCTCCGGAATATGTTAATAGATATCACATCAATATCACCAAAGTTAAACGTAACAATGAAGAGAAGGACGCGACAAGGGGACCTAAACAGGAGTAGGCAGTAAACAAATTTTCTATTAAGCGGTAGAAAGTTACCAACTAACAATATTGCTTTACAGCTTGCCTTCGGCTCAACGCAAACAAGCACTCTTTGCGCTATTCGGCCAAGTTGTTTCCGAACATCCTGAACGTTTTGGAGAGAACAGCTATAAGCATGTGTACGATCTTGGGAACACGTTCTACTCCATTGGCTGTACAATTACTGAGGACGATGGCGACGTCGTTTTTGAAATGACTCCAGTAAGTATGAAATTTTTGATGCCAGCTTGTACGGTACTTCTCGTCACTACAATTCTTTACATTGAAATTTTTGCAACAAACTTGTAAGCATTTTTTGAAGGACACTCCTATTAGCCTTGTTGATGGGAAATAATGTAACGCCAGTAACAAGTATTCTAGCGGTGCTTCGTTATATTGCTAGCTTTTAGATAATGTAATGTAACCCTCCTTTTTTTTACCCGAAGAGGCACATAATAATGAAAAGTTGGTTTTTTCGTCAGTAGAACAGTTCGGAATTGGCTCGTGCACTGAACCATGAATGCGCCATATTGCACTTGTTCCAGGATGAAATCAATTGCCGGCGAAGTCGTGAATTCCTTTCCAGAGGATGCAAAAAACTAATTATCACCGTACAGTGGACAGGAAAGGTACTTCAGTGTGTGATAACTAAAGAAACTACTGATTTTGAAGTTTGGCATTCAGATATTCATCAAAGGTCCAAAGCAAAATGAGGATGACGGCAGCCGTCGCGAAGCTGCACGATTTTTCGAGATCTTAACTAGTCAGTCTATTTTCAATGGGTTCGTTTCTATTTTTTTTTTTGTTATCTCAGTTTTTTCTTTTCTTGTACACTTTAGCATCTTGTAGGTTAGTATCGAGGCACAGCTGCTAGTGTTGTTAAAGTCTTCGTTTTCGCGACATTTTCATCGTTTTTTATTTTGCTCAATTTCGATGAATTCTGTGAAAAATTGAAAATGAGAGCGAGTTATTGGCGCATCTCGCCGGTATACGAAAACATTCGAGAATTTACTCAGTGCTTTGCTGTTATAGTGATCACCACGTTTTTGCGAACAAAATCTTCGAAGGACGCGTTGATAACGATGTAACCCTTGGAGAGGGCAAATGTGTCAAGAGCGGTTTCGAGAAGAATGTTCGGTTTGTTTTTCGCAGAATAAAAACAACTTTCCTTACCCATACGAATCAGCGTTGATTTTAAAATTTTATCATTATAGATTTCTTGGCGACAGTGAAGAAAACACAGTCCCTGTCCTACAAATTGACAGTGAGTATGAAACTTCTTTATTGTTTTGCTTGTCATGGGTTGTGTACTTTACTTTTACATCTATCATTTCTTTTGTTCGTTGTGTGTAGGCGGACTCGGCGGTTGTGCAGTCGCTACACGCACAATCGCCGAGTCGAAACCCACCTTGTTTACCATCTGTAGATGTTTATCAAAGCTGTATAGGTCCTCTTATTCAATCGTGTGAAGTTTTAACGTTCCTTACGCTAATGCCTTCTCGATTTCCTGTTTGCAGCAAAAAAGTCGCCGTTCTATCGTGGCCAGTCAGTATTGAATTTCATTTACGAGCTAACCGGTCGAGAGGCCGAGGAGGCGTTGAGGGCGAAGCCTTTACGGCAGAAAGTTGCTCGAGAACTGCGCGGTAAGAAAAGCTGCTTCTTGTTTTGGCTATGATTTCTGCCTTCTTCCCTCTATAAAAGGGGTGAAGGAGGTGTAATACCAACTGACACCACTTTTCACGCTCACGACCCGGGGATCGAATTCCGGCTCGAATATCGCCCAGGCCCACCAGCCTCCCATCCCTTCGGAGTTGGTTAGTTGGGATCTCGTCTAGGAGTATAAAAAACGCTGACTAATAATATGCTAGTTTCGCTAGCTATTGATAGGACATATGGCATTCAAATACAACTCTAATTCTGAGTAGAAGTACCTAGGTCTAGTGTTCTAAAAGGCGTGGACCCCTTTCGCCCAAACCTTTACCCATTATATCCTTATCCCATTTATCCCATTATGGAATGCAGTATCTCTACAGAAATTAAAACATGTTGTCTATTTTTGCAGATCTTGTTGTGTCCACAACTCATCAAGAAAAGAACTCGTGGTTCTATATCCATGGTATTGTGGATAATAGCGCTAGGAGGTGAGCCTTTCTTTTATTTTAGTGTGATTTGGTTGTGTTTCTCCCATGCTCGCTGGAACGGGATTCCTTGTTTTATTCTCATAACGCACATACCCACAACGACTCACATAGCATGAAATTTTAGCCAAACGTTTGAAACGGACGAAGGCGAAATATCGGTTGAGGAATATTTCAAACAACGATATAAGATAAAACTGAAGCATCCTCACCTCCCGCTGGCCACCGAACGTAAAGGTGGGAAGGGCTTCAGTTTCTATCCACTGGAGGTGCTGTGTATTGAAGTGGGTCAGCGTGTAGACAACAAGAAGCTCGCTGGTAAACTCGTGAGTTTTGTTACATGAAAGTATGCTTTTTTATTGTGTTGGACTTTTTGTTTCGAACTATTCATTTGTTGTAGACTGATAAAATGATTCAACAAGCTCGTATGCTGCCCCACCAAATGCGTGAGCACAATTTACGTCAATTGCACCAAGCCAATCTCATTAATAGCAGGAACGAATATATGGCTGCATTCGGGGTTGGTTTCTTTTTGTTGTTTTCAAATCACAAGCTGACACACAGGATTTAAGGATTAAGACGCATTTTAATATGTCATTACCCTTCACGTTGTTATACAGGGTAAGAGTTCAGATTTTGTCATAGTCACACTATTGTCACACTATTGGAGACGTACCATTACTGCTGCATTTCATTTCATTGTTAAGGTTCGCACGTCTGACAGTTTTGTGAAGAGCGAAGCGAAAGTGTTATGTGCTCCAGAGATCAAGTACAAGTCTGCGTAAGTGGTTTAAGGCTGTTTAATTCTTCAATATTTTACGCTTTCCTTTCGGCCTTATTTCATGCTTTCTCATTTTTTCAGCAGCATACAACCTGATAGAAGCGGAGCATTGCAGTGGCGAATAAGCCCGTCTGCGCAGTTTTATCAACCAGCTACGGTCAAAAACGTGTCCTTGGTTATCTTCGATAGAGCTGTTTCAGATGGCGAAGCTAGGTAAGCTTTGGATATGCTCTTAAAAACCTATTGATCATTTGATATGGTTCATTCTTCATTCTGTCCTTATAGACTGTTTACTTTGATGCTGGAGTGAATAATAGATGGAAAGTCCTACATAGTAGGAGAGGTTTATTTGGGAAGGGGTCAACGTTGCATTGATTGCATTGAAGGGAAAGGGGGATTGAAGCAGTCCAAAATTGCTTAGAAATCTCACTGTACTGTACTAACTACCCGCAGACTTGATCAGTGGAAAGACCAACCATTGTATAGGCCAAGCATGCGTTAGGAACATCTACATTCGAATGGAAGCCGGTTGCGCTTGGGATCGATTGGAAGCTCTTTATTCTTTAATTTGCCCTTGTGCTCTGCAATAAGAAGTTCGTCATTTTAGTGAATTTTACCGTGCGTTAGCTAGAGCTGGACGAGAACGTGGAATGGCGGTACAGGAAAATAGCATGAAAGTTGTCAATTTATCTTCCGAACTCGATAGTGAAATCGAGGAACATTTCAGGTATCTGATTGCTGATTTGGTTGTTTGGATGTATTGATCACTTGTTGGGGATCGCTTTTCAGCTTGTTTAGTCGTCAGAAACCTCCAAAATTATTGTGTTTTAACTGCTTCAGGGTTTTGTGTCGGGAGTGTCCCCCCAAGTCATGGTAGCGAAGGTAAAAGGCCATGGTTAGTGAAAACGCTAGCTGTATCAGTATTGGTACTTTTTGGATTGCCTGTGAAACGTTCAATTATAGATTTCGTGAAGCTTCTTGAGGCAAGGCATAAGGTGCTCACTCAACATGTCTGCAGGCAAACTGCATTGGCTTGCTCGAATAGGGGAGGAGCAAAGGTTCTTTTACAACAGCTTTTCTGTTCAAGCAGCTGTCTCTTTTCATGATCAAAAGGTTGCATGTGATGAACTTGCAGACTCTCGAGAATGTCCTGCTAAAGTTCAACGTCAAAAATGGAGGGGTTAATCACACAGTCTCCGCTGCCAGGGCAGCACTAGGTGGTGGAACCACTCAGCAGGACATGTAAGCTTGACAAATTCATCCTTAGTGTTTCAGTTGACCTATCAGGGCTGTTATTTTACAAATTTAGGAACGGACGATTGTTCAACGGTAAAATGTTCGTTGGGTTCGAACTTTCGCACGCAGCAGCGCAGAGTTTCTATGATCGTCAAGTAGCGGAGAAGGTGAAGGAACCGACTGTTGTTGGAGTGAGTGTTATAATTACAGAAATATGACTTTTTTGGTCTTTCTTTTTTTTTGGAAAGTTCATCACTATTTCATGTTACCTTGTACCCTAAAAAATTTCTGAGCTCAACGCTCTTACTCGAACCTAACCACTGTTCCTTGTTATAGTTCTCGTACTCCGTAGGACAACCTACCGACTATAGCGGATTTTGGTGGTATCAAGAGCCGAGACTGCACACTATTCTGTAAGAATAATGTTTCTATAGTGTTGTAGGATTGAGAGCGATGATTTGATTTCTTTATGATTTTGTTTTGTGGCTGTGAAGGAAATCTTAAAGGTTTTGTTCCATTGAAAAAGTCCAACAAGATTATTGTGACAATTTTTACTTTCAGGTATCTTCGAGATCATTTCCGCCGTGCTTTCCAAGAATACCACAAGAAAAACAAGCGCCTTCCTATAGAAGTTGTGGTGTACAGATCGGGAACGAGTGAAGGAGAGTTCGCCGAGGTATTTGTGGGGATCTTTAAGGAGTGGAGCGCTTGCTGTATTTTATGATGCGGCCAAGTATGTTAGTCTGATACAATTTAGGTCGAAAATGAGGCGAATGATATCCGTGCCGTTGCTGAAAAAATGACTGAACTGAATAGTGGCAGACCGTACCGCCCAAAAATAACTATAATCGTTGCACAAACTAACAGTAATTATAGGTAAGCTCGATTTTCTTACTCGTAATGTCACCTTCTTGTTTCTAATTGCTACATGCTTAGAATAATGCCGGCTTCAATGCCGCCTGCAAATGGCGGTCGAATGAGGGCTTCCGATTACAACGTTCCCTCAGGAACTTGTGCAGACACTGGCATTACTCATCCACGTCTTCGGGAGTTTATCATGACGTCTCAGCAGGCTAACATTGTAAGCTTTCTCTCGCGTATTTGATACTCGACAGCTTCAGTAGAAAGTTCAGCTCTTACTTTCGGCTAACTTCCTACACCTGCTTACGAAGTTCAATATTTTCACGCTGAACTTAAGCAAACAGTATTAATAACAAGTTTTTAGGGCACTTCTCGCCCTACCCGGTACACAATCGTTGTCGAAGATAAGCCTCAAATGTCGCTGACGGATGCCGAACACATCACACATTTTCTTAGTCATGGTCATCAGGTATGTATGGTTAATGATTAAACTAGGGTTACTAGAAAATAAGTTGTTAAGAAATACATTAAATATTTTGGGGAAATGATCCTCTCGTACACCTGGTGAAGTTTTTTTTTATAGCAATCAACTTTACCTACACATGTGCCTGCTGTACTTTATGCCGCAGAAAATTTAGCGAAGCGAGGTCGTGCTGCTTGGAAAACTAAGCTGTAAGTTGGATCTTGATACCTTATTTGGACGTTATCCACTGGAAGCAAACTAAGCTGTGTTCATAAATTTTTTACTTGTATTGTATTATAAAAATACAGTAAAATTTCTTGTTTTCTACAGTATTGGTTTGGATGTTCGGTTTCTGGTATATTTATTTGCTACTTCTTGCTTACTTCTTAGCTGCGATGAATTGACTTTCAGAGGAGAGAATTCTGATGGGGCGTCGTCTTCTGGGTCTGCTCCCCACTACACATTGGCTGATGGTGAGGACCAAGATGGCTTCTACAAGAGAATTAGTCGAGAGTTGATGAACTCACTACCCAATCATTACTTTGCATAACAATTGACTTGACTGATCAACCGCATTCCTACCATGTCAGCTTTGCCATCATACAGGCGGGTACCACATTGCGCCCAAATTTGTGGCGATTAATGTTTAGTTACTAGTTAATTTGAAGATCTTCAAAAATACACTGGTGTGCAAAACTTAAGGACCGAAGTAACTTTCACATGATATCTCACTGCTAGTTAACCTAGGTGGACCAAATTTGGCACATATATAGAAGTAAATGTTGCGGTACAGTGCAGAGAGTTACTAACAGAAAAGCGCAAAGGGGCGATTGGAAAAGACATTTTTCTGCAAATACCCTGTCTGAAGCGGTCGATAGGTGAGGCTTCTCCAACTCATGGTAGACATTCAAAAGAGAGGAGCTGGTTCTTGATGGGGTGTATGAACACTACGGACTGCAAGGTATGCTCTGCTACGTGTTCCCATACAGGCCGTAAGATTAGTTAAGAGTTCTTGAGGAGAAGTGACCGATTCCTTGGAGACCGCGATTGACAACTGCAGGACTATTGTTGGCACATGGTCATGTGCTACAATAGCTCATCTGAATCCACGCCACACGTGCTCCATAGAATTAGACTGGAGGAAATAAATGGCTTCACCAATTACCGAAAATCCTCACTTTTCAAGAGTTTTCCACCCAGGCTGCTCGATACTCTCGCACACTGCCCTCCATACGATTGAAGCTGAGGGCAAGGGAACCCTTGGAAAGATGCACATGACAGAAGGGTACAACACCACAATCACGTTGATCAGAAAGTGTAACGCGATCATGAGTTGGGGATCAGTACGCCCCGACAACTTTATGCCTCCCCACATCATGTCGCATGCACTACCAAAACAATCATGTTAAACGATGGTCCTGGGTAGATTACACGTTCCTATTTTCCCCATATGCAGGTAAGTCCAGAATCACTACTCACATTCAGTTTGCTCTTGACCGGGAAGAATACGCGATTTTTCAATTCGGTGGTCCATCTCCAATGTCTCGGCTCGTACCAAATGTCCCAGCCGAGGCGTGGATTTCAAATGAATACAGGTATTGTTGATCGATGAGAGAGATCACTCCTAGGCGGTCACTGCGCCACTGTCCGGACTGGGATTACATGCCTTACAATCCTGATAAATGTTTTTGCAACTGCAGCATGTGACTGACGTGGGTCCATTTTTGCCTGTAGCAAAACCTAGCAATCACCTGCTGCTGCGGTTGTTCGTGACCCACAACCTCCTCTTCTTGGGACAGCAGTGGCTGCGGTCCACATTGCTTCTCATGCACAAAAAACAATGCTGTGGTTGACACAAAACTCCTGGACACAACTTCCTTTTTTCAGTTTCCCAATGATTCTTCCTCGCGTAAAGTCACCCTAGTGTTGTCTCTGAGACTTGATGTAATCAAGAACATCACTTCGTATTGGTGTGTGGGGGTGTGTTCATTCCACAGTCACTTCTCCCTGCTTAGTTCACCCCTCTTGTCCTGCCCCACGATACCCATCGTTCTGGGTGGCCACCCCATTTAGGCTCCAGATTGAAGCCGGATGCAAGACATATGAGGCCCACTTCGGTGCCCATGACTGTAGGGCTTCTAGCATTATGCCCGTACAGTTTCATCCAATTCCATCTAATTGTTAATAAGTTAGGACAATTTATCTATCTGGTCCTTAAGTTTTGCACACCAGTGTAGTATATTATGTATTTTTAACGAGAAGCTTTGCTTATTTGAAGTTATTACGAACTGAATTCTTCTAGTATATATGTAGCGATATATAGATTGTATGTTTTTCACGAGTAATACTGTGCATTGTAATCACATGCATTGTTTGACGTTCTTTGACATTCTTGCGCAATATTACGATAGTTGCCGTGTTGTGGCGTATCAGGAATTTGTTAATACTTTTGATCATTCTGAAAGCAGTCGTTAACTTGTTACCAATGTCTTGTTCGTACGATCTTGTTTCGCTATATAAGGCCTTGTAATTGTTGAGATTGACTTTTGTTAATAAAGGGTGAAACAATGAATGAGAGCGAGAATGTGGCTGCAGTGTGATGTTATCTTTTCCTGAGTACCACTTGGAAGAGTGTGACTGTTAGAGTTTTCTTTCTCCAGGTAAGAGGTTGTTGATGGCGACTGAGATGTCTTCTACACTAGCCCATTTGGCCCAGTGATGCTTCTTCTCCTGTGAACGTCGGATGGAAACCTAGTTGGATCCATCAGTAGGTGGTACTAATATTACAGGGTGGCCGAAAAGTATAGGACGCCATGTTTTTGTGTGTAGAAGCCAAGAAAGAGACTCGATCAGGAAACCGACTTCACACAAAGATAGAGTTCAAGCTATTTGATCACTTGTGCAGAAGGTGCTTTGAATTTGACGACTCTGCTTTGAGAGAGGCCTTCTGACGTCCAACGACAAAATCAGCAGTGCGCCGCAGGTAGCCAACGGTAATGCAGTCGGAGGCCGCATCTCGAGCTTGTGCGGAAACTTTTTGCATTTTATCAGTTGAATCTATTCAGGTTGCTCCAATAAAACCAGCACAGAAAAAGTCGGTAACCCCTTCAAATAATGACTGCTTCCCAAGATTTTCTGGAAGGAGCGACGGCAGATCCTGAGATCAAAAGCGTTATACTCACGTGACTTTCACCGATATGAGAATCTCTCTTTTACGACGTATTGCGCCAAATTCTTCTGCGTGTGACACTGCTCGTTGAACCTACATTTTCGCAATTCCGAATCGATGTGCCTACAAAACCGGTTGGGAGCACCGAACATGTTCCAAAGAGTTAGGAGAGGAATAATATCTCGCTTTCCGAAGTTGCAATTTCAGAGACCGTCATTGGGCAGCCTCTTGGTAATGGGTCGATGCAAAAAAATCTTCATGGCGAGAGTTCAGATGAACTTTGGACCAAACAACTTATGGTGCTTCTTACATAGTTTCAAAGCTTTCGAAGAGTTTCGAAACACTCTGAAAATACTCCACGGCTCAGTGCCAGCAAGCGGTCAAAGCCGCGTCCTATACTTTTCGGCCACCCTGTATTAATTTATTCCAAATTTTCTTCGTGAACTTTTCCACAGTATCGGTGAGCGGTCCAATTTAGCGAGAAACCGAAAAGTCAAAGTTCTTGGCCACCTCACTTTAGGAATGGAGCGGGATTGGCGGGCTCAACGGCAAATTAGAGCATACGGCTGCCAAGTACATGGATCACTGCTTGGTCAGACACTTGTATTGCATCATTTCAGAACTGGGATTAATTGGGTATGGGTCGCGCCGCCCACTTCATCACAGCCTCCGTTCTCAATCGTATTGTTAAAAGTCAGTCCTCTATTGTTATCACGAGTCCTTGCGCAATACACCTCAGAATTTGGATCTTTCCTGCCAAGGTCAAGTTTGGCAACGGCGAAATTTTTCGAGCACGGCTTTTCCCATGGGCTTCCTCGTAGCATGCCTTCATCCCTACCATTTTTAATCTACCCGACCGGAGTGTCCCTATCCTTCCGTAGAAAATCACCGAGCAGGGGAACATACAATATCAAAAGTGTAACATTTCCAAACATTGAATTTTCTCTTCCCGTAGCCGGACTCAATCCTGAGTGCTCGCCGAGGAAATCATTCCTTTTTTGTCTCGCCGACCGACATTTCTTCGCGTCGTCACTGCTGTTTTTCATGACGCAGAACTAGATTCAAGCGTAGTTGAGGCGTTCTCTGCATAACTTCCGCTCACTATGAAATCTTGGGAAGCGTTTTGCGTTTAGTGGGAATTTAGCGTTTTTGCAGAACTTTTGGAATTGAAACTCGATCTAGCCAGATTCTCGAGACTCTAGAACTCTTTTCATCACCTTGAACTCGGCCGCAGCTGTCTGAGGGAGGATTAAAAGCAATCAAGTTTTTAAGTTGTTGTTTGTTTGTTTACAACTGTTTTAAATCCCAGTTTGCCAAGTTTAGCCGGTATTGGTAGCGAATCGCGAGGCTGAAGCCTCTGCGGATATCCGTATAGGAAAGGATTCAGGGAGACATCGAAGTTGATCAGTCCCGTTTGTGGATGCGCCTCGCATTTCTCTTTCACTCAGAATCGCGGTGGCACCTTTAATTCGATCTAGCCTAAACAAAGGCTTGCGGGCTAACCGACGTATAAGTCAGCAGATATTAACAAACAAAACGAGTAAAAACTCTTATATCACGCTTCTGATTAGAATGTTATATTGTGGAGCACTAGGGGCTGGAACCGGCAAAGAAATGAGTGACAGGTTCATTGCGCAACCTGGGTGTCTGGTGACCTCTTTTGGAACTTGTGGAGTTGAGCAGCACCATAGGAATTGGTAATCTATGACAAATAATCGTAGGGGAAAATTCATGGTTTAGATTTCAATGAGCAAAAAGAGATTAGATGAGAGGATCGCGGTAAGCATATGTCACGCTATGATGGAAGCTATCGTTATCGAGCCCATTGATAGACATGGCTGGTACTCTTATTGAATCAGAATGAGAGTTCTGATAAGGGAGGGCGGAAAATGGGAATAAATTTAATGTGATGCTGAGCAACTTCTCAGAGAAAATGCAAAAGGAATCCCGAAAAGTCTTAAGGGACACGGTATTTCGGAGATGTTTTGGGCAGTGTGACAGTCGACGCCGGGGAAATTAACGCGCAGAAGAGAGGTCAGACAGAGAAGAGATGGGATAGCAAAGAGACAAAAGAGATGAAAGGCACCAACGCACTTGTAGACCACAACCGTTCAAGGCTAGTGCTTCGATCAACTCAATCAGTCGAGCTGTCATCACGCTGAGCCCAGTATGCACAGGATCGAAACCTTCAGGGTTCTTCCTACGAAGAAGTGAAGATTGGTGCGAAGTGAGCCCGGTAGAAAAGAAGATAAGGGAAGGATCCATCGAAAATACTGGGTTGTCGAAAATCTGCGCAAAGCAAAACCCTTTTCGGTTGTTTTGGCATTGGTTTACTGACTAGTGGTGTGCCTTCGAAGAGGTTCCAGCAGAAGCGTACATGAAGGCTTCAAGCAGCGTTCTATAGGTCCAAACTTCTCTCTGAACTGAGCCATCTTTTGACATGTTTTATTTCTCCAGCACCTAGGGATCCACTCGGCTTGCATGCGTTGAAGCTAGTATGTGTGCTGTATTCAGGAAAATAACTCGGTATCAGCACACTGTTCCCGTTATCCCTGAGCACTCCGTGAATTAGCAACGACGCTGAGGTACACTAATTGACAGTTATTGAGGCTCCCTACGTTCTTGGCTACAGGGCAGCATGATCGCAAAGGGTACCACTTAGGTTGCGCCAGTGGGGAGGCGAAGTGTGTGGCCATGGTAGAAAATTCTTTTCTTTCTTCGCAGCAAAGAAATCTTCTGACAAAAATGAAGATTAAGGGAGATAGCTCGAGCTTTGAGGAAACTGTACTCACAAGCTATATTGGATTCGACTGAGAGAAAAGCTGCCTGGAGGAACCTTCGTAGAGAAGGGCTTTTGGTGTTTTTGATGAGGTTGCAATTTGATTCTCCACAGAAAGCTGCTGAATGCCTGCACAGCAGTGATGACCGTTGTCGGCTCTAACTACCTTTGAAATTTGGCCGAAGCCATGCGTGAAGTTCACCCAGAAATGTGCAACATTGTGTTACCCCACCCCACGCATATCTACATGTGACAAAGGATTACATATCAAAAGATCATGGATTTTGATTGGGAAATTTCGCAGTACTTGGCTTACTCGCCGGGCTTAGCCGCTTCTAATTATAGGTAATTAGTGCCCTGAAGCGTCATCTAGAAGATAAAAATCCGATGACTGAGGTCAACTCGAAAATGGGATCGATCGCTTCTTTTCAAAGCAAACGCCGGAATCCTAAAGTAAGAGAGTTGAGAAGCTGCCCGGAAAAGTGTACGTCTCCTATATGGTAATGGTGATAATCTTGCTGATTGAATATTTCATTCAACAAAAGAAGGTGCAATCAAAAATCTTGGACAAAGTGTCGCAGGATTTCTTGGACAACCCAGTACTAACACTAAAGTTGGTGGGTTATCGGTTGGGTTAGCTAAGTCAATGAGAGACTGGGAACGGAGAAAAGAGAGCACAAATGAATGGGTACCAGAGACTAGCACGCTGTGGAAGAGAGAAAAATGAAGGGATCTTTGTAAGGATCTAGCGTCATTGTTGTGCTCGTCAGAGCCGGGAAAAGGGAACATCTGTGACTTTTTCATGGTGTAGCAGTCCTCTGCTCGAATTCTCGAAAGGATTCCTCTTCGCGTGAATCTTCCTGGATTTGTTGCTTAATACGGGAAAAACCATGCGCTCGCAAAACTACTTCTGAGCTTACTGTTGGAGCCTTAGTTCCACAGTTTCCACGAATCGGTTTGAGAAGTTGTAGTAAAACTCATGATTTCTATTTAAAAATCGATATAGTTTAAATATTGTAATTCATTAATCATAATCGAAATATATGAAAAGTACAATGTATGCTCACGTTATGGACGGACCAATCCGATACATGTGAGCCATTCAAGTGATCAATCAAAATAAAGTACCTAAAATCGAAAATCGTTGATGACTTTTCGAGGAGCGATCGTCTCTACAATATATTCTCATCGTAGTAAACGGACATACCAATCTACCAAATAATAACTGATGCAATCGATCACGAAGAAGCATGAAGTGAATGTCACATCCGAACAGGATCATACGGAGCTACAGCAGCGGCAACTACTAGCTGATGAGGGGCTTACGCGCGCCCTCCTACGAAACGAGAGAGTTTTCTAGGACGGAGGCGGTTTACACAAGAAATATGAATCACAACTGGAACTGGTTGTTATTGCTTTGCGACTAACGATGACTGAGAGTTCACGTCATCTGACGCACTTCGCTGGTACGTCGACACACCGAAGAGCTGAAATGCGAAGTGTTATGAATTACAAAGTAAAACAACAGCCACAGGCTCATTGATGTTCAGCAAGACAACGCCAAAGGCAAATGATTAACGGCGCGCGAATAATGAGGCGCTGGCATCAATTATATAATCTTTGGATCAACCCTGTACAGTCCAGCCAACTGTGAGGCTGGTGTCAGAGTCTGCGATATTATCGCGATTTGCGCTATTCGCGCGAATCGCAAAAGTCGTAAGTGCCCCATTCGAACATTTTGAGATTCGTACAATATGAAAAAGCTAGAAATCATTGAACACGATCGTCTTGCTCAACCATCGCCATCAAGCAGACAATAGTGGCCGAGATTGGAGAGCACGCCATTTTTGATGCGGGACATCGTGGTTTTTTGTGATCCTCGCGTTGATACGCGCGATTTCGCGCGACGGATGTATGGATTATGGATCGCCAACTCTGACACCAGCCTAAGTGCTTCCCATTTTTGACCTGCATGAGATTCTATAACCTATCTACCAGAGTTACTCACATACATCTCAATTTTGAATAGGAGATCCGCACGTGGCGGATATGAGAGTTGTGATCAGCACCGACTTATCTGTGCCTACATACAAGAAACCCATTAGGTCACTTCTCCGTGCTGGCCTTAAAGACACATTTAGCGATTGATTATGGTGTGGTGTGGGTCGTTACATAAAAGTATTGGGTCAGATATTGAATCTGACGCAGAAGTAGAGCAAGAAAGCCGCTGAGCACCCTTTGGATTCACATTGCTCGGTGACCGTATGGGCGGTACCAGCTTGAGGCCCTCATTGGTCGGCTCTCTTCTTGATACGGTAAAGTACGGTAATGAACTGGGGCTGGCCAATGAGAAGGTCGCCAGTAGTTGTTATTGCCGCCCATATGATTTGTTTTGTCATTATAAGATTCTCAACCGTTTTAATTGCTATTTTTCATTACTGGTCGACCCTGAGGCACATGACTTTATTTTTGAACGTAATAATTCACATCTGCTCAATCGCAAATGTGCCTTGAAGTCTGCGTTCACTAGTTACAATTAAATGTATGGGTTGTTTCACTTGCCCGGTTTTCCACCTGCTTCAGAGAAGTAGTGGCTTCATTAGTGTTCCCAATGGTTAACCACTTATTTCTACACCCTAAATCCTGTCGCCAAAGTAATTTCAGGGTTAACTCTGCTAAACCTTTGGGGTTTATATCACAGCGACAGCTGATTATTTCTAGTCAGTTTTAAGCGATAAACCCACTTTGCTGCTTGGGCCACTTGACCTCCTTGTTTCTTGGTACGGGGCCGAATCGCCTCCATCTTCGTATAGGGTTGGTGAGACTCCAACGGCTATTTCGTGCGTCTGAAAGACTAGTTGTTCAGCCTATGTGTTAGCTGTGCTTTTACTCGCGGCTGGGTACGTCGTGAATGCAGACTCAGCACCAGACGACGACCAAAAAATTCGATAACACGGATGCTTTCAATGCTTTCTGATGCTACGTGTGTTGCTTTGCATCTTTCATAGCAACGCTCCAGAAAACTTCCGTGATACCGAACTCTTCCAAGCCATA